GATTATTACAAAACTCTTATTTGTTGTTTGCTCGAGTTATCATTTATTTCATTAAATATGCTTTATGGAATATTATTGGAAAGTGCACGAGATGGAATATATCTTAGTTATGGAAATCATGTATGGAAAAAAATTGTACAGGAACTTAATTTTGAACATGAATCATTTACAACATTGGGTCGATATGAAGATAATTTAATTGAAAAAATAGCTGAATGTAAATAGTTATTATTTTTCTATTAATTAATATAAAAATCTTTTATAAATAAATAAGGTCTTACTGATATTCTTCATGAAGGAACACCAGAATATTATATGCAATTTTTTGGTGAATGTTTTGTTCGTTTTTTTACAAATTATGGTTATGATAAAATATTACGTGTTGCTGGAAGACATTTTAGAGATTTTCTTCATTCAATAGATCAACTTCATGATTCAACTAAATTTAGTTTTCCTCAAATGAGATCTCCATTATTTCATGTACTTGAAGAAGATGAACATGGAGCTTTTCTTCAATATAAGTAAAATATTATTATTTTTAATAATTATTTATAAATATTAAAAAAAAAAAAAAAAAAAAAAACTTCAGATCACGTCGTCGAGGTTTTCAACGATATATAGTTGGTCAATTAAGAGAATGTGCATCAAGATTTTATAATGAAGATATTTATGTTCGAGTTCAAGATGATATATCAACAAATGAATGTAATAATTTTAAAAATTTTTTTAATTAAAAAATAATTTATTTTTAGGTACACTTATTATATTTCGAGTTGATTTTAATAATTCAGCTGTAAAAGATACTTCACAACGTCTTTTTAGTATTCCAAATTTGCCCGATATAACAAGTGAAACATTTTTTAAAGTTTTTCCATTTTGTCTTTTAATTGATCCATCAATGCGTATATATCATATGGGTAAATCAGTAAAAAGTCTTTTTCCTGTTGATACTGTTTTAATTGGTCGATATCTTGAAGAAATTTTTCGACTTATTCGACCAGATATTTCACTAGAATGGGATAAAGTAATTTTGTTTATTTATTTATTTAAATTTGTTTTATTCTTATATTAAATTTGTTTGTATAAAGGTACTTAGTTATGGTCGACATATTGTATTTTTAATGGAAAGTCGAATACCACTTCGATCTGATAAAGGAAATAAATCAAATGAAAATTCAACGATTCAAAGACTTAAAACAACAGCAGGAATAACAGGAAGTTCATTTATTAGATTAAAAGGACAAATGAAATGGATTTCTAGTTGGAATATGATTGTTTTTTTATGTCATCCTGTGTATGTATTTTTTATTAGTTTTTTCCTTAAAATAATTTATGAAAAAAACAATAGATTATCAACAACTGAAGAAATGATGAATATTGGATTAACACTTCATGATTTAAATTTTTATGATGGTAGTAGTGAAATTCTGATTGCAGGAATGCAACATGCAAGACAATTACAAGCAGCTATTGATAAAGTATAAGAAATATTTGTTTGATTAATAGAAATAAAAAAAAAAATATATTTAATTAATAAAAGCAACATGCATGGATTTCCCAATTACAAGCAACTAAAGTTGAATTACAAGAATGGCGTCGAAAAGGAAAACGTCTTCNACAATTACAAGCAGCTATTGATAAAGTATAAGAAATATTTGTTTGATTAATAGAAATAAAAAAAAAAATATATTTAATTAATAAAAGCAACATGCATGGATTTCCCAATTACAAGCAACTACAGTTGAATTACAAGAATGGCGTCGAAAAGGAAAACGTCTTCTTTATTCAATGATGCCACGTCATATAGCTCAAATGCTTCAACAAGGAGTTGTAGCTAATTCAATTTGCGAAGTTTTTATTTTTAAAATTTAATTTTAATTATTATTTATTTTGTATTTTTTTTTTGTTTTAAATTTTTAGTCACATAAATTAATAACTGTATTATTTTGTTATACATTAGATTTTAAAGATGTTATACAAAAATTATCTCCAACAGAAATTGTTCAATCTATTAATCAAATGGTTATTGTTTTTGATCAATGTTCAGAAAAATATGATGTTTTTAAAGTAAAATATTAAATAAATTTATAAAAAAAAAAAAAAAGTAAATATATTATTTGAAATAAAGTTTGAAACAAAAGCTGATTCATCTTATATGATGATTTCGGGTATTCAAGAACGACCTCAACAAAGACGAGTATCAAATATGGTAAATATTTATTTATTTAATTAAATATATATTTTTCTTTTTTTTTTACTTTTAATTAAAGTCAGGATCAAGTACAAGAAGTTCAATTGGTGAAGACAGTTTAGAAGAAGGCATAACAACTGTAAAAAATCCACTTGGTTTAAATCAAGCTGAAATTGTTGCTGGACTTGCTCTTGAAATTTTAAAACAATCAAAAAAATTAATTAATAAAATAAGCAAAATACCATTTAAGACTAAAATTGGTTTTCATTCAGGTTCAGCTGTTGGAGGAATTGTTGGACATAAAAATTATCAATATTGTCTTTTTGGTGATACTGTTAATACGGTTTTAATTATATTAGAAAATAATTTTATTATTTTCTTTTTTCTATTTTCTATTTTTAATAGGCAAGTCGAGTGACAACAACAAGTGATGTAAATATTTATCTTAATAAAATTCATAAATAATTCGTCTAATTAAAGGTGGGTCGTATTCATTTAAGCGCAGCATCTTGGCAATTATTAAAAGATTCTTCTTATTTTGAAACAAGTCCTCGAGGAAAAATTCCAATGAAGGTATTTTCTGTTTAATATAATATTTGAATAAAAATAAATTTTGTTTATATTTTTGAATATATTTAGGGTAAAGGTGAAATGCAAACATATTGGTTAAATGGAGCTAAAGAAGCATATATTGAACATACTCTTATATTAGAATCAAAAAATGAATTAGTTTCTAATGATATGTTATCTGATTATCATCCAACAATGTATGAAATAAATGATCGAAGAAAATCAATTTCATCTATTATTAATAAAATACCTTCATTGGAATTTTGCCTCGAGGA